ACGGACAGCTTAGTCCAGCCTACCAAAGATGTGGCACAGAGACATCCCATTTTCCTGCCTCCTCCCTGGCTTTGCAGTTGTCCTATGGCTGTCTGACTTTTGGCTGGGGAAAGTGCTGCCAGAACTTTCCCTGGGAGGTGGGAGCCGAGGGAGGTGAGAGGGTAGACCCCATGCCAAGCCCAACAGAAAGCTGGAACCACTGATAAGGCCACTCACCCACATAGGAGTCCTGAACCACATCAGAGGGAAGGTTGGGCGGGCACAGTCCCTGAGCACCATGTATGTGTGCCAAGGGCCAATATGTCATCACGTTTCATCCTCGCCACAAAGCCTGTGAGGTGGGCATTACTACTGTCATCGTAGAAGGGATAAAGTAAACTTGGAGAGGGTAAGTGGCATGCTCGAGGTCCTGGGCCATTAAGTGCAAGGCTTCACATCCAGGTCCGCGTGGCAGCAGGCCCAAGCTCTTTCCACTACACTGTGTTGAGTCTCTGTCATCTGGGAGCTTGTGAATGGTCTCAGATTTTCCTCCCTTACAGATTTCTGAGTCAGAGCTACACTAAGAGTAGTAAATTGCACAAAATCAGTCCTACCTGACTTCCTTCCCCAGCCTCAGGATTCTCTGACTGAAGGGAGGAAGGGATTCCTAGAACTCCTTGAAATTACACTCATCGTAATGTGTAGGTATATGTGGATTTTTTTTGACAAGAAGGTCTATGGCCTTCATTGGGTTCTTAAAAAGATCTATGACTTTTTTTTTTTTTTTTTTATACTTTTTTTTTTTTTTTTTTTTTTACTACAGTGCTGTGGCATCAGGCTAGCTCACAGGAATCTGTGACTTTTAAAAGGTTAATAACCACTGCTTTAGGCATGACTTTGTCTGATTCTTTCTTTTGACAGATGAGGAAATGGAGTTCTTTAACTCTATTTTCTGCTTCAAGTTCTTGCTGTTTATTCTGGAGCGACAACAGCACAACCTACGCAGTTCTCTGAGTAGCTTCTGCTCCCTCCCTCGTGCAGTGGAAACATCCTGGGGAGGCCAATGGCAGGCTGAGCGGCCAGCACTACATCCTTCATAGAGAAATGGAGAGTCCCGAAGTGAGTGGGGTCTGGCTCTTTGCCCAAAGTCTCATGAACAATGAGTGTACTTTGTATAACTCCAGGCCACGTGAAGACAGTGGACGCCAGAATTGTAATAATTCAGAAAAATGACTCTTCAGACCAGGTAGGTTTAGGGAAAGGATGTGGTTATATCAGACATGCGCTTTGAACCCTGGACCCAATAACTTTTAAGCCTTTTGAAAATAAAAATTTGGGCTGATAAGAGAAAATGAGGCTTTGGCTGAAAATAGTCATCCAGGTGGGTTGCTCTGAGATTGTTACAGGCAAATAACATTTTTGTCCACTCCTCAGGGGTGTCTTATTAAATTCCTGGGAGGAAACTTTTTGAATGCAGAAGACAAGGTGCTCTCCAAGGTCTGAGCAGTGATAGTAACCACTGCCCTTCTGTGTGCCTGCCGGACACGCCCAGTGAGTAGAGGGGAGGAGGGCAATGGGGCCTTCACAAGACAAACTCTTTTAGGGGGTGGGAGGAGGGGTTGCATCTGATAATGCAGAGGCTATTACACAAAGTTCATTTTCTGGGATTTTATTTTTTGAGACAGGGTCTCATTCTGTCGCCTGGGCTAGAGCATAGTAGTAGTCATCACAGCTCACTACAACCTCAAATTCCTGGGCTCCAGTGATCCTCCTCCCTCAACCTCCTGATTAGTTGGGATTATAGGTGTGTACCACTATATCTGGCTAATTTTTCTATTTTTTTGTAGAGACAGTGTCTTGCTCTTGCTCAGGCTGGTCTTGAACTCCTGGCCTCAAGTGACCCTCCCACTTCAGCCTCCCAAAGTGCTAGGATTACAAGTGTGAACCACCACAGCCAGCCCATTTTCTAGGATTTTAATATGAAGTACTTTGTAATTAGGCATGAAATGCATAGAAGCAATGTATAAAATCAAATAGGTGAATAGCAACATTGTTTCATGTAGTGTTTCTACTTGGAACATTCTTTTAATATTTTGGTTTACCCCTGAAACATATTTGGAAACAAGAATCTGCTAAACCCATGACAGAAACATTAACAAAAGACTGGGCAATCAGGACCTAAATGCTTTCCCAGAGAACTCCCCTCAAGAACTTTCTCACAGCTACTGCTTTCCTCCCTGTGTGAGCCACTTTCTGGTCCCTCCTAAGTGCGTTCTTTAGCATGGCCTCCTCTCAGAGAACAGATCTGTCTGTCTCCAGTCCACTTGGCCTGCTCCAGAAACCTGTCCTTTCCAAAATGTGCCTTCGAACATGGAAGGGCCCTCAACAGGTACTCTGGCTGTGGACAAAGCTTCAGGGATGAGCAAGAGTCTTCCTTCTTTGCTAATACCTCCTCGCAAAAACAACAGACACTGGAACATGAACACATTGTTTGGCAGTGAAGACATTTGGCTGTGGTGGGCTGCTCTATAAAAACCTTGGGAGGCCGGGAGTTTGTGAAAAGCATATACTATACCAAATGGATGATCCATAAAATAAAATGAGAACCCACGAGTCCATACTGACATAAATAAACAAAACAAATGGGGGAGAAGAAAAAAAACTCTTCCTTACAGTAGAACTTCAATTAATAAATGTAGAAGAAATGATGGAAATAGACAATCAACATTTGGCAAACACTACAGAAATAACTGCTTCAGGCAGGAATCATCAAGGGATGCTAAAATGAGTGGGCAAAAAGTGTGATGAGAAACAGGATATTTACATAGTTTCAAAGTATCCCCCACAACATACTTATTAATTACAAAGAGAAAAATAGTAACTTCCAAGTGGAGAAAGCTGGCAAGCACCACTTTAAGCAAGTAATCAAAATTATCAGCAGTAATGAGACAAATCAACATGATGTGCTTCCTGACACAATGCACTGAGAAGATACAATGTCACTTTTATGCTATTCTTGACAGAAATAGATTTAATCAAGAAAAAATGAGGGGAGAAGAGGGAATGGGGGGAATCACACCTAATGGGTACAATGCACATTATTTGAGTGATGGGCACACTTATAATTTTGACTCAAGCAGTACAAAAGCAATTCATGTAACCAAAATATTTGTGCCCCTGTAATATTCTGGAAAAAAAATTATATATACTCATTCCTTTCCCCTGAAGTACTTGGGTTATGGATTAAGTTCTGTATTATTTTACAGAAAATCTAATGAGATAAAGAACTATATTGCTGGGGGGTAATGGTCATTTATTGAAACCTTGAAATCTGTACCCCCATACTATGCTGAAATAAAAAAAAAAGAACTATATTGCATTTCCAGTTTAAAATAATAGTATCATTTACTTATTATTATTTTTTTACAACTAAACCTTCCTTGTGATATACAGGAAATAACAAGAAGAAGACATAACCTATTAATAATATTTTTATACTTATATCATATTTTTCTCAAATGACTTGAGTCAGCTAATTATGTATAGAGATTAACCAATGCAAATCATCTCAGTAAGCAACTGCATCCCAGTATGCAATCTTAACTGCTTAAGATTTAAGCAATCTTAAACTCTTAAGATTATTGTTATAAGATAGCAAATAAATGTTTCTGCCTAAAAAAATAAATTAATAAATGAATGAAAATTGAGGGTTTTGTACAAAATAGCTGGTCAATATTCTTTAAAAGTATCAAGGTTGCCAGGCACAGTGGCTCATGCCTGTAATCCTAGCACTTTGCGGGGCTGAGGCAGGAGGATTAATTGAGGCCAGGAGTTCGTGACCAGCCTGGGCAACACAGCAAGACCCTGTTTCTAAAAAAATAAAACTTTAAAAATTAGCCAGGTGTGGTAGCACACACCTACATTCCTAGCTACTTAGGAGGCTGAGGCAAGAGGATCACTTGAGCCCAGGAGTTTGAGGCTGCAGTGAGCTAGAATCGTGCCACCGCACTTGAATAAAGACCCACTCTCTGGCCAGGCATGGTGGCTCATGTCTGTAATCCTAGCACTCTGGGAGGCTTAGGCAGGCAGATTGCTTAAGGTCAGGAGTTCGAAACCAGCCTGAGCGATACCCCGTCTCTACTAAAAACAGAAAGAAATTAATTGACTAAAAATATATATACAAAACTAAAAATATATATACAAAAAAATTAGCTGGGCATAGTGGCGCATGCCTGTAGTCCCAGCTACTCGGGAGGCTGAGGCAGGAGGATTGCTTGAGCCCAGGAGATTGAGGTTGCTGTGACCTAGGCTGATGCCACAGCATTCATTCTGGTCTGGGCAACAAAGTGAGACTCTGTCTAAAAAAAAAAAAAAAAAAAGACCCTCTCTCTCAAAAAAAAGAAGTCTCAAGGTTATGAAAAACAAAGAACAGATGAGGAGCTATTCAAGATTAAAGGAGAACAAAGAGATCTGACAGCTAAATCCATGACTATTGGGTCCTGGATCAGAAAAAGGACATTAATGAGACAATGTTACCTTCCTGATTTTGACAACTGTAGTTACATAAGATGTTAACATTCTCTGGGGAAGGGTAGGTATGTGAGAATATTTTTGTCCTATTTTTGCAACTTTTTTATAAGCCTAAATTATTTCAAAATGAAAGGTTAAATTACACCTGAGAACATGTATATGAGACATTAGGCTTTCTCACAATAGGCAGGGCCTGATGTAAAGCTTTGTGGGCTGACACATGTCAGGGGCTCAGCACCCACATGGGAAGGGGATGTTGGTATCCACATGGGGTCTTATTAGAATCAAATACAGGCCTCTGAGATTTATAGACACAATAAATGATAACATTCAAAAGACATAAAAATATCCGTAACGGGTTTCTAGGGAGGGTCACGGGCAGGTCAAGTCCCCCCTTCAGCCTCTGGAAGGAGCTGTGCCTTCCTAAGACCTAATTGTGACCAGAGGGATGAGAAACGCAGGCAGAAAACAGCAAGATGTTCATCACTCACTTGTCTTGGGACTCAATATACACGTAGAGATGAGGCTCAAAACACTTGGAAACAATGCCATGAAATGGATTATCTGGGGCTTTGGGCTTCTTTGGCTGCAAAGAAAAAGAAAAGAAAAAAGAAACCCTATACTTGAGCGATCTTTGCAAATTTTCAAGCAATTTCAAAGAAGACATCCCTCCAAAGTTCATTCTTAACTTATAGCTAAGAGAGCACTCAATGTAACTGAAGTGGGAATATGTCCCGCACTATGATTCATCCCTGTCTGTGAACAAGAAGCCAGCTTTGTTAGCATCATTTACTTGCTTTGTATGGTGAAAGATTTACTGCTGCTTTGATAACACATGCATTTTCAATTTGGAATCCAGTCATCATCTGACTGATGTTTTAAAAATTTAAATCCTGGCTAATAATAGCACCTCGTATTTGTATAGTGCTTTAGAATTTATAAAGTGCTTTCACACGTTCTAATTTTGATAGCCTCCATTCACTGATTGTTATGGGCCAAGCACTTTGATATCAAATAATATGTCATCTACGCCACACAATAATCCAATTATTACTACTATTTTATACCTCAAGAAATGGAGACTCAGAGGGTCCTAACAGCCCGCCCAAAGGCATGTGCAGAAGCTTTCTCTTAAACCAGACTCTTTCTATTATAGCATTATTTTCGTGCAATGGTCCCTAGACTTTAGTACTCCATAATATAAATAAGTAAATGTAAGAAAATGAAGGGTGGGGAACCAACATAGGGTTGCCAACTTTTTATTTTGCTAATTTCTATTCTTACCACAAGTTCCTAAAAAAGTATTCTATACCTCCAAATTTTATAAGGCTAAAATAGCAGCATAGGGACAGTCCTTTCTTAGAAAGGATAGCTGGTAACTTTATTGTAGGTAGATTGATAAGACTATATTGTCTTTATTTTTTACCTTAGACCACTAAAACACTAGACCAGCATTGGTCCCCAGACTGTTACTTGGAAAGTTCAGAAGAAGTGAGCCCTGCATGTGAGGAAGCTTTAGGAATATCTTAATCTATTTATTTTGCTTATAGTTTCCTTTTTATGTATGCACAAAAGTGATATATGATAAAAAAAATCTATGTATAAGTCTGAAGAGCTCATTCAGTAAGTATAAAATACAGATTCTAAGTGATAATGGAAGATGGCTATGTGATATTCCCACAAACTCATCTCCATCAGTCCTGACCAAATAGCGCTGGCATCCCACTCCTGCTCTGCCCACTAAGGTGCTCTTCTGCAGTGAGAAGGGACACTGGACCCTGTCACCATGGCACCCAGGTCCTCTTGCGGTGTTTTTTGTGTGAGTTGAAGCAAGAGGGAACAATGGGAGGGATGCTGAAGTTTCCTTTTTTCTTTTCTCCCCGGCAGGGCTGCCTCCTGCCTCTGCCTGCTTTATGAATGTGCTCATGTTTAGATAGTAGGTGCTGGAATTTCAGCTCAAACTAGTGTGTCTCCCTTTGCAGTACCCAGCTCCCTAAAGGGTTGATTCTCAGCTTAAAAACTATACTAAGTTATTTAGCAGTAGCATTCAGGCTGGATTTCTGAGTGTGTGAATTCTGCCCCAAACCTGCAGATGTTTAAGCTATTTCCTCCTGCAGTTTGATGGACTAATAAAAGGTTACTGTTGTCACAGTAAGGAGGTCTGCAGCTGGTCCCATTTCCTTTTATTACTATCCAATGTAAACAGATTAAATCTAACTGCTCGGATCACCAGAAGGGTACATTTTTAAATCAGAAATTCCTTATTCCTTCTCCCTCTTTCTTTTATACTTTTCTCAGTCCCCTTTCAGATGTCATATTTTATCATTAGGAATATCTTGGCAACTGATTGCTCGGGCCCTCTTGTAAACTAAATACCTCTTTTCAAGTCCAGGCTCCCTTTTTAACAGCCAGGTGTGAACTACAGCAGGGAGCAGGGAGTGACCCTTACCTTGAGGGCCAACTGCCTACTAATTACAGCAACACAATGGGCTGGATAACCCAGGGAACCTGTAGGGGCCTTCGCTGCAGCCACCTCTGGCTGAGTTTGTCACTCACATCTGTGGAGTTCCTCCCTAACACCCCACAGGCCTCCTCTGTTCCTGTGTACCCAGCTCCAGGAGCCATCAGGCTGCTGAGAAGAGGGAGATCCTGGTGTTCCCGCCTGGTGCTCCCACAGGCAATACAAGTGCCAGCAAGGCAGTGGGAGGTCAGGGATGGCATCTGAGGAGGCATTAGTCACTGGTGCATAAGTTTTACTACTAATGAGTAATAGCCCATGAGATTGCGGGTGGTTCATCTTGTCCTGGGGGTATTCATTTAGTTTAGATTTTTTTAAAACAGGCCTAAAATCCTTGACTCAAAAGAAAGTTCAGCCGGGCGTGGTGGCTCACGCCTGTAATCCTAGCTCTCTGGGAGGCTGAGGCGGGCGGATTGCTCGAGGTCAGGAGTTCGAAACCAGCCTGAGCAAGAGCGAGACCCCGTCTCTACTATAAATAGAAAGAAATTAATTGGCCAACTAATATATATAGAAAAAATTAGCCGGGCATGGTGGCACATGCCTGTAGTCCCAGCTACTCAGGAGGCTGAGGCAGGAGGATTGCTTGAGCCCAAGAGTTTGAGGTTGCTGTGAGCTAGGCTGACGCCACGGCACTTGCTCTAGCCTGGGCAACAAAGTGAAACTCTGGGCCGCCCCCCCCCCCAAAAAAAAAAAAAAAAAAGAAAGTCCACAATACAAAGTGACTCAAGACAGAACTGCTCTGATTGCAGGGACCTAGGTCCCTGGTCTCCTCCCAGGAGAGGACAGCAACATCTGAGGGGATACCAAGGAACCTGGTTTGGAAACCATTAGCCCTCTCTACAGATAAAGAAACTAGGGGAGTCTAGAGAGAGTAAATAACCTATGTGAGGTCACATGGTCAGTGAATGGTAGACTGGAGTCTAGCATTTTCACCACCACATGACTTTGCTTTACCCCATGTATTTATGGGATGTCAGTGTTCTGTGTTCTTGACAATGAGCACGTCTTGGTCCTTATAATAACAACTTCCAGGTTCCAGGATGAGCAAAAAGTTCTAAGAGAAAGAAAAATCATATTTTATTTACCTGGAAAAACTGGTTTTGTAGGTATAATATGATAGGCCTCTCTATCATAATCCAGGTTTAATAACATCCAGAGATTACTAGTTAAGGGGATAACTTTTCGTGGCCGCACTAAAAGCACCTGAGTGTTCAACTGCATGATTCTGGACATGACAACAGCAGCCACTAGCACTGGGGAGATCTGAGGGCCTGCCAAGGGTACCACTGCACCTAGCAGGCTCAGAGGGTGCAGGTGACCCCCGTGTAGGTGGAGGACACACCAGAAAAATGAGCTCTCCAGCCAGGACTCCTTTTTCTACTGAGTCCTCAGTCCCAAAATGTAGGAGTTGCATTTATTTAGTCAGAAGAAATCTTTTGTTTTCCCCCATGCTAGCCAATAACATGATGGCTTTAAGTCAACTATAGCTAATCCTATACATCTTTGGGATATCCTCTCAGTTTTGTTCATTCACTTCTATTCCTGAGATTCATTTCTATGTCCTTCATTCTTTAAGTAGAGACGTGAAGGTATTTAAAAAAAAAAAAAAAGAGCACTGGGAAACAAATTGTAGTTTCTGACTGCTAGAGCTGGCTTTCAGTCTTAGCTCCTCCACTTCCAAACTACGCATCTGTGAGCCAATCACTCAACCTCTCTGAGCTGCAGTTTCATCACCTATAAAACGAGAGGCCGGCATCGTGAGGACAAAATGAAATAAAGCATGTAAAAGACTTTTAAATTACAAAGCGCTATAAAAATGTAAGGTACCCATTTTTATTACCGTCATTTAATCAATGGACCAGACACATTTTATTGCGTGACTTCAGAACCGCTCCGGGAAATTCTGCTCTCGCAGCTCCTGCCAGGCTCACACACCTACCCTCACCACGCTGGGAATGCAGGCCTCGATGTGAGACCTGTGGCTACGTGTTTCCCAGAGCTGGTCTTCCCAGCCAGCCTCCTTTTTGGTGGTGTCTGGAGCTGAAATAATACCATGAAATAATCCTCTAGCAGCCAAGTGTAGAAAATTAAAAAGAAGGATCACTAATCCAGAAAGGAAAAGTCCTGATTTATGGCTCTAACCTCTCTTGTCATAAAATGGCAATGAAACAAAAACACCATTCTGTAGGATGAAGGGAGAGGAAATTTAGAGTTGGACAGAAAAATCCAAAGGAAATTAAAGTGCTAGTGTGCTCTGAAAAGTAACTCTCCAAATACGCCATTGGCCACCTTGTTCTTTCCAGGCCTCCCCAATGGCTTCCAGACCCAAAGTGATCAGCTTACACGGCGGGGAGGCCTCTGCTAATGGACGGTGCTGCTAGCTTCCCCGGGATCTTTCAGCCTCTCACATCATCACGGTGGCAGATGAGAGTATGACCAAAAGCTAAGCTGACAAGTTTGGGAGATGATGAATGAGGCGGAGCAGAATTCAGCTGGCCCTACCGCATGGGCTAATTAAGCTGTGTGTGCTGCTAAGTCCTGGTGGGGAGGCTCTTCAGGAGCAGAGACGTGGGGCAGGAAAGGCTGCCCTTTCACTGAGTTCTCTCAATGCACTTTCAGAGAAAGCCCTTTTCTAAAGACCACCAAAGCTGTAATCTCGGAATGTGTCAATAGCCAGAGGATCGTATCTGGAGCAAGTGGATCCATTTGCAGAAGCAGACATTAGGTAGGTTACCCGTTCATGGCAATGCAAACCAGACTCACTTGATCCAAATCTCCTTTCTCAGCTGCCAGCTCCTCCATCTCTGGTGTCGGCTCATCTTCCAGGAAAGGATTGGTAGATGCGGGTGGAGACTCGAGTTTTTTCTGTTAAGTAGACATGAGAAAGAAGTACTTTTTGAGCATATTCATTAGCCTTCCCCATTGATCTTCGGCTTTTTCCAAGTCTCCTCCCACTTGGTAAGGAGATCAGATCATGAAATCTGATCTAACACATAAAAACTGAGGCAAAGCGGATCACATTCTTACCTCTACCTTTCTGAAACCTGTTGCCCATGCCGCCCCAATTCTAATCTGGCTAAACTCTCACTCATCTTGCAGATCTCAAATTAGAAGCCCCTTCTGCTGGAAAACCTTCCCCATCTGTCAAGTTTGAGTTACATGTCCCTGCCACATGCTATAAGTCTCCTACCCAGGTATTTATTAAAATACTGCAATTGATCCAGGCACAATGGCTCCTGCCTGTAATCTTAGCACTTTGGGAGGCCAAGGTGGGAGGATCACTTGAGGCTGGAAGTTCAAGACCAGCCTGAGCAACATAGTCAGACTCCATCTCGATAAAAAATACAAACCTTAGCTGGGCATGGTGGCACACCTGTAGTCCCAGCTACTCAGGAGGCCGAGGCAGGAAGATTGTTTCAGCCTGGGGGTTTGAGGTTGCAGTGAGCTATGATGATGTCAATACACTCTAGCTCAGGCAACAGAGCCAGACCATGTCTCAATAAATAAATAATAAGTGAAATAGAATAGAATAAAATAAAATAAAATAAAATATTACAACTGCCCATTTATTTGTCTTTTCCCCTTTAGACTCTGATGGCAGGAACCATAGCTGTCATATTCCCCATCCTATCTCTGGTGTCTGGCATGTGGTAGGTCCTCAATAAATACAAATGAATCAAAATGCCAGATGGGTTTGAACTGTAGAACAAACTACAAAGTTGATCTCATGTGTTCTAGATTATAGACAGAAGTCTCTTCCCAAATAAGTCCCATTACAACAAAGAATGTAGAAATCTCCTTGAGAAAAATTACTTCTTCCCTGCTCCTAAATATGACTGCTATTTCTTTTTTTTTTTCTGAGACAGAGTCTCACTTCTGTTGCCCAGGATAGAGTGCCGTGGCGTCAGCTCAGCTCACAGCAACCTCAAACTCCTGGCTCAAGTGATCCTCCTGCCTCAGTCTCCTGAGTAGCTGGAAGTACAGACATGCGCCACCATTTTTAGTTAGCCAATTAATTTCTTTCTATTTTTAGTTGAGACGGGGTCTCGCACTTGCTCAGGCTGGTTTTGAACTCCTGACCTTGAGCGATCCTCCCAACTCGGCCTCCTGGAGTGCTAGGACTACAGGTGTGAGCCACCATGCCCAGCCTATGACTGCTGTTTCAAAACAGATCATTGAGTGAGACCACAGGCTAGTGGGAAAGCTGGAGGCAGAAGACATGGGGTTTATCTCCAATGGTGATGCCCTGGCCAAACCATCTAGCTTCTCTGAGCCACAACAGCTGCATCTGCTGAATGGGGATACAGTCACAGGACTATCTGAAGGATGAAATGTGATAAAGTGTGTGAAAACCTGGAAGAAGCACACGATACATATGATGGTCACTGATACTGTTAATTCCAGTACGACTACAGAATCGAGACAACTCTCTGGAATTTTTTACAATTTTGACCTAGAGATGTTATTCATGCCCAGGAGCTAGGAACTTTAGCAGAAAGGAAGCCTAGTGGACAAGCAGGATAAAAGGGATTGGCTGGCGCTGGGAAGGAGGAGATGGGGCAAGGGATGGCTCTCTGAGATCAAGCAGCTAAGTAGAGAGGCAGTTTCTAAACGTACTTGTGACATTTTAGCCAATACTGGTAGAGCAACCTGAAATAATGCCTAAGCCAAGAGGCATAGCAGAAGGACTGCAGTATGATGACTTCACCCAGTGCTAGAAAATCACCTGAAGATATTATACAAACAAAAAACAAAACAAACACAAGAAAGAAAAACCACACCTGTGTCTGGTTTTGGCTTTAAGACAATTCTGCTTATACTCATTTCCACTACTTAATTTTTGTCCAAAACACTTGGATGCTACTTATGTAGATAGACATAGCCTCAGTGTATGAGAAAGCCTTGTATGACTGCATTAGCTCAAGGTAATAATTAGTAAGATGATGATTTTTGTGATATCCTGGTGAGAAACAACATGGTCTAAAAACCAAGCACACATTTCAAATTTGCACACTCTGAATTTTGGCTTCTTTGTCTTATATGAGAAAAAAATCTCTATAAACTTACTTATTTTTAGAAAGCAGTATTTCTAAGTTTTAGTTGTCTTTTTAAGGGTTATTGGTATCTTAGGGAGAGGGCAATAGTACGAAAGGGAAACTACCAAGCTTAATCTTCAAGAATAAAAAAGTTAGTCAATAGCATTAGATTCCTGATTCCACTGGCTTAATAGAGGGTTTCAAGATCATGCTGTTGAGCTAGTCACTGTGATTCTGTCCTTTATAGATGTGGAAAGCAAGTCAGTTAACTGAAGTTAAAAGCTTTGTTCAAAATTGTTCAGTGATAGAAACAGGATTTGATTTTTTGAGCTAAATGTTCCTCATCTAGGTCTACCAGGGTTGATAAGAACATCTCACGATTATATACAGGTGGGCCTCATTTTTAAAACAAAAAGGTGATACTAGAAATCATGGCACAAAGTGGACATAAGGAGGTGGACTGCGGGTGCTTCTGGACTCTGGTGTAGAGTGCCAAGTGCATGGATACAGTAGGAAGAAGTAAAACATAAAAGGCAGCACAGAACAAGCGGAGCAGCATCTGAGGCAGTGTACGCGTGGGTTACGTGTTTAGTGTTACTGGGCCAGAAGATTCCCAAGATTTCTTCTCCATCTCCACAGTTAATCTTTATTTATAGACTGATGAAATGACTGTGGGCAGTCGTGGACATTCAGGAGCTCCTGGTTCATTTGTCCGTGGCACACCCATTCCGAGTGTGGACCGAGCTAGTCCAAGACAGGTGATTCATGCCTGTGTTCGAATGGCTGTGCTGGGTGCCAGGAGTAAATCAGTGCACAGACAGACCACCCTCTGTTCTTAATGAGGTTAGGGTCTGCTGGGGGAGACAGGCTTTAATCAAATAATCACACAAGCATAATGGCCATGAAGGAGAAGTAGGAGTTAGGAAAGCACACAACAGAGGGTCACAGAAAACTTCTCTAATAATGTTTGAGACAGAACTGAAGGGGCCCCCCAGAGTTAAACATAGGAAGGCAGAGAGAAGTGGGGTCGGGGATGGAGCAGATCTTTCTAGGCCCAGGAACAGCATGTGTTTGCCATTCCCTCAACAATTACACACTGAGCATCTGTTCTGTTCCGGGAACGCTTCTGTGCACCGGGGATGCAATGGAATAAGCCAGATAAGAAAGGGAGGCACTGAGACAAAAAGAAACTTGAGGAACTGGGCTGGGCTGGGGGGGAGGGTGGGGAAGTGCTTCTACACACAGGGTGATCAGAAAAGGCCTCTCTGAGAATGTGGGAGTTGGCCCTGGATAAGAAGACAGAGCCAGCTGATAAGACAAAATGGGGGGGGGGTGTCCTCCCAACAGGGGGACCTAGGGGAAAAGGCTGGAAACTCTCAGTGAGTTTGGAGGACAGAAAGGAGGATGAAGGCACAGGGTAAGACAGGTAGTAGGAACCTAGTTGCATTTTTTTTTCATTACAAATTTTAAATTTTTTATTATTTTTTTTTATTATCAAGGGATTGGCCTTTGATCGCATGGTCTTTTGTGGGCCATGTTACAGTTAGATTTCCTTCTCACTGAAATTGAGAGTCACTGGGGGTTTTAAACAGGGAAGTGATATGATCTAATTTGGATTTTTAAAATATTCCATGCCATCCATGGACGATAACGGGAGCAAGAAGACAGTTTAAGAGGTTACTATAGTGTTCCAGGCAAGGGCTGATGGGAAAGCAGACTGAGCTGGTGACATGGAGACAGAGAAAAGTGGCCAGATTGGGATACATTTAGAAGATAAAGCCACGGACTTGCTAAGAGAGAGGAAATGAGGGCAAAGGAAAAGAAAGGAGTCAGGGACACTCACTGTTTGGCCTGAACAACTGTGTGGCTGGTGTTGCCCTTCACTGAGATGGGGCACCCACATATAGAGGTGAGGGCACAGGCTCTGGATCTGACAAACCTGGGTTCAAGTCCAGGCTCTACCACTGGGTATGCTGCTTACCTTCTCCAAGCCTCAGTCTCTTATCTGCACTGTGAAGGGACAGTAACACCTGCCTCTTTAGAAGTGTTACGAGGATTAAACGAGGTAATGTATTCCAAGCATGAGATATATAGTTATGCGTACCATAATGACATTTCTGTCAATGAAAGACTGCATAGATGATGGGAGTCCCATAAGATTACAATGGCGCTATATACTGGAGTAGGCTATACCATCTGGGCCTGTGTAAGTACGGTGTTCTGGGATGTTCACACAAAGATGAAATTACCTACGATGCACTTCTCAGAATATATCCTGTCATTAAGCAACACATGGCTGTACATATAAAGTGGCTTAACACACTGTCTCGCACATAGGGAAAAGCTCGGTAAGTGGAAGCTTTCCGTAGTATGGAACAGGGTGAGCAACTAAATTAGGCAGAACTGTTGTGTTTCTCTTAATGAAGAAACTCTCAGAAGGGAAAGACATGGGAGCACAAGGCTAAAGGTCTTATAGAAAGAATTCCTTTTAATCACAAGTGAGATCCTATCCCTACTATTTTGTCTCTTCGGGATCTCTCCAGGAAATGAAAGCAACGGGCCCATCAGCTGACAAGTGCAAAAGCACACCGCGCTGCTCCCTTCTTCCCTGGTCTACAACAAAGAGCTCACAGTACTGCACATACCACCCACCACCCTGATGGGAAACATTATGTTACGAAACCCTGAGGTGTGATATAGACTCCTGCTACTTAGAGGGCTACATTACTGCTCAGATTAATTTGCTGTGATAAAAGAACAGGTCTTTGCACAGAGCAATCACTGGCACAAGGCGGCCTTCTGTGCAAGAGCCCTGTTGTCAGAGCCAAC